GCCAATGTGCTGCTGCTCGCATGCGACCACCTCTTCGTGGAGGGCTCAGCTGCTGCAGGATCTTGTGCCTTTGCTGGGCAAGATGTCGTTGCACACGTCAATGACAAGTGAGTGGTGTGAAGTGTCGTGCACCCCGATCTTCGGCTGACAAGAGAGTGCAGACGGCGACAGAGGCATTGATGTGCCAGTGCCAGGACGCAGACCCAATCCGCATCTCCGCATCTCACCTGACCATGTTGAATCTCTGTACAAGTAGGGCTAAGCAAGCAGCGCTTCGTTCATTCTTCGGGCCTTCGTGAGGTGCAAGTCTGACCTTCCCTACCTGGGCGATTTGGGTCGCATCGTGTCCGGCGCTTGGCCCTCTGCCGACGGTTCGCAGGTGCCGCAGCAAGATGCGACGACTGCCGCAAGGTGACCTACCGTGTCGCTGCTAAAGGACATCGCGTTTCACCTTTCCAAAAGCGCGCAATACAGGAGTTTGGGACTGAGCTTGAGGATTACTGGATGTTCTAGTGGCCTGCGGAGTTGTTTCGGAGTAGTTCAGGTTGGACACCGCCCGCGATTCAAGAAAGTGTCAGGCAAGATGCTGTGACCTTCTTACCGAGTCAATGAAACAAGTGGCCTTGCCGGCGCTTGAGGTGCAAAGCTGCTCTCTCCAAGTGTGATGCGGATGTAAGGCGTGGTGACGTGGATACGTGGTACTCCATGCAGCCAGGGTTTGGCATTTATATGCATTTATGCATTTTGTGTGCTCCTCCGAAGGCAGCGCCTCCGAAGTACCAGGCCGGCCGGTTTGACCGGCAGGTCCTTGCCAGAAGCAGAAAATCCTGAACTTCCGCTGCAGGGACAGAGTCTGCTGGCCCAAGCAGAGACCAAGATACCGGCAAAAGGCGCATCAAATTCCGCTCAGCTTGCTCCAGGCTTGCTCGTGGAGTCTGGGTCCTGCCCAGATCAATTGCCGCGCAGGCGCTCTGCCGTGGTGTTTGAAAAAGGCTGGCAAGGAACGCGCCTCAGTTTAGTTTAGTTGCTTGGCGAAGCTTCGGTATGTTCCCGCACACCGACGCCAGCCAGCCCGAAGGATGCTCCATGGCCCACCTCGCAGATGGCGTTCTCCTCAGCTAGCTCCCTCATAACTCGGCTCGAGTGTCAGGCATCCTTGTTGCTTTGAGGCAAAACTGCTTCTCGTGTTGCTAACTGGCAAACCCCGCGAACAGATACCGAAAAAACCAGGGCAGACAGCACACTTGGACACTTTCCGGATGCTGAGTCCTGGCTGCTGCAAAGGCTTCCTGGTTTGCGGTTGGGAGTTTGGTTTAGGCGAGGATGACGCAGGCATGGGTCAGGGACCGCATTTTGACATGGTTTTTGCTCAGGACCCGGGCCGCAGGCAGCGCCTGACTCGGAGGGTTTCAGTGGGAGCATGACACTGCATGACATGCTTTAGGGCAGGCCTGGTGTGCTCACGATTCCGATGGAAGCTGTTGCCTTTCTGCTACAGTGGCAATGAAGCCAGAGGAGATTGCAGCATCCAGCATCGAGTCTTCTTGTGCACGGAATCGGGCAGGACAGCCTACACAGCCTTGGCTTCCACGACGGGGAGGAGGCGGTCGTCAGCGGCCACCTTAGTCTCAGTCCCGAAGTTGGTACATGGATTGCTGGTGACAAGGAGGAGGCCACTGGAGAACCCAGATTGCCATCGTCCATGGAGGCTGGTGACAGAGGGACTTTGCGTGCTATGCCCCTTTCTGTGTCGCTTCGTGGGCTCTGGCTATCATGGTCTTGCTCATGATCATAGCAGTGATGCGGTGCTGGTGGCGGACTTGCTGCTGCTGCTGCTGCAGTTTTGTCGGCGGCGCGGTGGTGGTGGTGGTGGTGGTGGTGGTGGTGGCAGTTGCGGCTGCGGCGGCTGTGGTGCAATGATGTTTGATTATGGATCTGGTTATCGTTGTTGTCAGCATTGTGATGTGATCATGGCGATGGCAAAACCCGTCATGCGTGCGATGATCGAAGCGATGCAGGTGACGCTGTGGCGCTTATGTTGGTGACGGTACTCGGTGCTGCTCATGCTGCTGGTTGTGATCATGCATGTGGTGGTGATAATGTCGTGATGGTGTGACATCCATCTTAGCAACGTGTTCATGTTGGGTGATTTTTCTGCTTAAGCTGTTAAACCAAATCTGCGCAGCATTGCAGTGATATCCTTTGATGCCACGATACCACCAGTGCAGCTGCACAAGGACCGGCCGGACGGCTTCACCGGTGATGTCAGAGCCCCATGCGGAGAGTTTTCTTTCCCCGGCTATTGAAATCTCGCAATGCGACGTATTTCAGCACGACGTTACGGCCAGTTTCAACTCACTTCAGAGACTTCCCGTAGCTCTGTGCATCAGTGAGCCATGGAGATCGGCATTTGTTATGGAGTTGGTCATGGCGTCTCGGCAGGAGCGGTGTTTGCGTGACCGAGCATAGCCACGAGCAACTTATCCAAAGAGTTTCCCGATTTTGTTGTGTGGTTCAAGTGTTGTTCAATCTCCTCACGTCCTCCTTTGCCCAAGCACCACTGCCGTCACATAAACACGCCGTCACTTACAGATTTATCACTCCAAGTCCTCCCTTCAGCGCTCAGAAGATTATCTTTACTCATGGGATGCAAGTTCATGCGCAAATCGCGTTTTGCAAAGACTTGTCCACCCACCCATGCTCGCACCACAGTCTTCACCTCGTACACTGGCCTTGCCATTTGCATATATTTGCATAATAGGTTTTTCGAGCTTGTTTTTCCCGATGGGCTCTCCAGAGGAACGCATTTCCTATTGCACATCGGTCTATTTCCTAGACTCCTAGACTCACGCTGAGGGCTTCCCAAACGTGTACCTTGTGTGTCTTCCAAAAGAGTTCCGCGAATTTGTTTTCCAAGAGTGTTTGGGCAGAGTGTTGAGTCGCACCGCCTCCATTCGTTTTACGTGCTTAGCCTGCAAAGCGATGCTTTTGCATGTTGGCGACCCAAGAGCATCCTCCGCGAAGTTGTTTAACGAACCTCTCGCAGACTCTCGAAAGAGAATCTGACAAAAGAGAATGTCTTCTTGCTGTGCTGTTTGTAAGAGCGTCATTGAAGATTGCCCGAAGAGCATCCCACATTAGTGGTGGTCAACAGTGTGCTGCATAATAAAGCTGGGCCCAGGTGTGTAGCACACACATGATTTGCATACGGCTCTCTGGGTTCTGCTAGGTGGTTGACCTAAAGCGTCTGGCGCAGGCGAAAAGCATCCCGCGAGGGCGTCAAGGTGGCGTTCGCCAACCAAAGCAAGGTACTTTACCATTATCCATGTTGGATCGGGGAGTCCACATGGCGGGTGGCTGATCACACCACTGCGCTGCAGCTTGATACACGCGGCAGTGTCAGGGTGGGGGAAATACTCTCATTCTCCATGCCATGCTGACAATAAATTAAGTCGTTATGACGTTTTGATAGAGTGCCCCTGGGGAATAGACACACGGGCTTCTTCCCAACTGGAAGAGGACGGGTCGATCCAGAAGAAACTACGCGAGAAAGCATGGGAGAAGCATGAACGAACAACAAAAACATAACATGTCAGATTCCACAAAAATAGAAGAGCTGAAACACCTACAGGGTGCCCGCCGTGTGGCGACCCACGCTGGCAAAAGGCGACTCACCCCCCATGTTGATGCCCCCCTCTGTGAAAGGCAACTCATGCGTGCAAAAGGCGACTCACTGAAACCGAATCCCCAATATGACGCCTTGCCAGGCTAGTTGTGCAAGATAGTTAAAGACAGGCGAGATCTACGCGAGACTTGGCGCAGAGTAGTGACACTACAAAAATTTCGACTACACTGCACTGTCAGACCCCACCATGATGCACTCGCACAATACAGTGGATCACAATGCACTTCTGCAGTGAACGCCACAAGCCGTTGTCTAAAACATAAAACCAAGCCCACCCCTGGCATTCCCCCAAGTAAGCACCTGTTCCCAGGGTTTGCCGGTTTTTGGGCGCTAGCTCATTCTACAAGGGTTACAGGCGGCAACACAACAAGAGAACTGCATAACCTAGAGCAGGCTCCCCCAGGAACCGCTATAGTCTTCAGTGTTATAAGCATGATTGTGTGGGTCTTGAAAACATAAGCAAAAGAATTGCCAAAGCAGCGGCACATGTTTGTCTCTTGGCTGCACGTCCAAGTGCCGGAATCTAAGCTCGTCTTGCTCGGCCTTCTACGAATTGCAGGGATCGCTGTTTTCCATGGGCCTGCCCTGCATGAACTCAACAAGCATCTTGCGCGTCTTTAGCACGCTGCTTAAAACGTCCCGCTTGAAGCAGTGCGCCAATGAAGCCTTCAGCCTGCCTTCAGCTGATCAGGTAAGAGTGTAACAATCTTGTCGAATTGGCTTACGGTAAAGCCGGCTCAATTGTAAGGCTCCAGGAGCTGTCTGCAATCCTGGGATTGTTGTTTAAATCCAACTCCTGATCGAATTCCTCCACTTCGGCATGGATGGATGGATGGTCACGGTTATCTTTACAAGACAGACAGAAAGACCCTCTGCAAGCCGCAGCATTGGAAACTGCACGCTCACGGGTGGTTTTGGGTTGTGCAGTGCGAAGTTGAGAAACGGCGTGTGCCACGACACTGTCTGTCTGTCTGTCTGTCTGTCTGTCTGTCTGTCTGTCTGTCTGCACAAGCCAATGCAAAACGCCAGCAACCGTGATAACGATCTACATTGCCGGATATGGAGTACGAAGGCCCGGAAGTGTGTTTCCCCACGCTCACACCTGCTCAATACATACCTTCCCACGTCGTTTCTCTGTGGGCCAACTCGTCCATTCGCAGGACTGGGCCTGAGCGCAATGTCGTTCAGTTCCACCGCCGTAGCTGCCACGGGTGCCACAGCAGTGGCGACAGGGACTGCTTCGGCAGGGGCAGTTGCTGTGACAACGACAGCTGCTGCTGCCGCTGCCACGACTGGTGGAGCAGCTGGAAGTGTCATGGCAGCTGCTTTCGGAGCAGCCGCCACCATTGCGGGACCTGCTGTCTTGGTGCTTGCGCCGATTGCTGGCATCGCGGGCGTCGTTGCATGGCGGCGGCCTGCCTACGCATGATCAAGCGGCAGCTGGCTTGGCATTTTGCCCTGATGCTCAGGCAGAGCGAAGAGCCTGAGACCATTTTGGCTGAGGCGAGCGATTTGCTCAGTCAGACGGAGAGGTTGTCAGGTTGTCAGTCTGGTTGGTGCTACATGTATGTTGTGTCACACCCACCATGCCAGGCAGAATCTGTGCTGACGAGCAGGATGGGGGACGAGATTGGCCGCGGCAACTTTGGAAGCGTCCGATATGATACTCGGGCGCAAATTTATTATTTCTGATCCACCGCCGCCCAAGACGTTGCCCATATCACATTGAGAGTAGTTGGAGCCAATCCACTCGGAGCTCACCCACATTGCCTTGGAACCAGCTTGCCTTTCTTTTACAAGGTTTTTGGTTTCAGTGTCCAAATTCACACCACAGATAGGTTTGCAGGGTTTTCGGCAGCAGTTGCAGAAGAGTTGCTCGGCCGTTCGCGTTTCCGATTCTTGCGAGAGCACTAGGTTAGCTCCCGCGCAGTGGTGAAGACAACGTCTATAAATGATGAACAGGGGATGTGCTGGTCCCAGGGGTGACATCGCACAGCTCACTTTTAAGACTTTTTGTTAATCGCAACCGTCGAAACCATGCTAAGGGCGGAGATCGTCATGCTGCGGAAAGTGCAGGGGAAGGAGGCGGGCCAACAAGATGTGGGATACCTTACCAGCCCGTTATGCTTGTGAAGACCGTGGATGCAGGAGATCATCAAATTGCTGGGTGTTGCAACCATCAATATGACTGCTGCAGCCTCAGCCTGCCCAAACGCGAATTTTGGATTTTGTTGGAGGCGCTCGTAATGGACATGCTGAGGCTTACATGTATCTCGCGAAATGCAATGGAGGCGATGCCTTGAGAGCAGTGCAGCTCTTGAGCCAAGTGAATTTTCAATGACAAGGTCTATGATGTATTCCTGTCATCCACGGTCATGAGCAGTGTCCAGGTTTTGGATTGGTGATGGGTGCACTTTGAGCCAGGTACATAAACGAGCCCTGGTTGGGTAGCGCTAGCCATGAGAGGGGCATGAACTACTCTTCCGCTCTTTTGGTTGCAAACGTTTTGGAGGCACCCTTGAGGGGCGCACCTTCAAGGACGGAACTTGGGAAGATTTGGCAAGGCGCTCAGATTCACAATGATCAACAACTCAGTGTCAATTTTCGCGCCAGATTTGCGCGTGCAGCTGTTCCATGGGACTCCACGGCTAGTCAAACTTCTGGTGCGAATTTTTTTCGGTCACACAGCGTCACAGTATGCAACAGATTCCAAAACGGTGGGTTTCCAAGATGGCATTGCATTGGCGTCATTTGGAAGGCAAGCTGTGTTGAAATGTTCAAGGTGATTCAACTGATGGGTGGACTGTCCCACATTGACAGGCTGGGCACCAAAATGCAACAAATGTGTTCTTCGCACTTGGTTTCTGAGTAAGGTGCGGAATTATACACAGAGACATCAAGCCGGGCAATATGCTGGCGGAGGATTGTTTGCCAGCGCCCCTTCGGCCTCCCGCCACGCATTAAGCGGCAGTGACCGCCACACAGGGCGGGTTTCAATCTGAGGCTGAGGATTTCTGATTTCGGATGCTCTATCAAGAAAGCAGACAGCGCATTTCAGCCCTTGGCCATCCCCTGAGTGTGATTCGCGTGTGCCCAGGGTGCAAAGCGCGGTGTGTCTGTGTTGCAGTGATTGGCCAGGCAGGTACCCGGCGGTACTTTTCCCCGGAGCTACTCCAAGGGGCGTGCAACTTAATACGGCATGATTGGCTGAAATGTTTTGCACAAGAATGCATGACAACATGCTTGCGCGTAAAGAAGCAAACCCCTGCTATTGGAGAGTTTGTGTTGCAGTCACGGCAACAAATGCATGCATATCAAACGGCTCAGTTTGGTCTGGTTGCCCGCTCATATGTGCTTGTGCGTGCGCCGCGTGTTTATGTCCAGGGAGTCAGTCCAGGGACGCTTCTGGCCGCATGACAGGCAGAAGATCACAACTTATACGCATTGTCAATATAGGTGGTTGAAATAAGCAGGTGTGTATGTCACATGATGTCAGATTATTAGTATTTGCGTCAAGTAACAGCCACTGCTTTTGACTTGTCATTGCAGAGAGACGCAGAGCCGATTGAAAGGTCCGCGCGTTTAGATTACTGTTAGACTGCCATTGAGGGTGTTAAGTTACTATGTCACATTACACACATACACAATGTTTACATACAGACACAGAGACACACCAGTATCATTTGTTAGAGCACCAGAAGCTCGTGTCTACAACACAACCCATGTGTAATTTGCGTCATATTTGTTCGCATGTCATAAAACAAACTCAAAAATTGACAAATTTGTGATCTGCTGAGTCGACCAAAGCCTGTTTTCCTTTGCAATCAAATCCAGGCCAAACCTGTTTTCAACATGCCTTTGCAATCAACTCCAGGCCAGGTTTTTCCAATGTAGGCCAAAGTTTTCCAATATAGCCCAAATACACCAGTTTTGAACCATCGTTTTCGCAATAGTTTATTTAATGCAACACCACATGAAGCCCAAAATCGGAAACTCGCTTCAAAATCATAGGTTTCCAACATGATGCCATATCCACCAGTTTTGAACCCATTTGTGAAAAAAACAAACCCCCATTTACAAAAAAAACGCCTTTCCTGTGCCAGACTCGGTGGACGGAAGCGGGTGTTTGGATTGGGTTCCGGCGTTGCTGCCCGGTGGGCGGGGGTGGGTGTTTGCAGCGGGCTTGGCGTGAATCTGCTGAGGCACAGTCTTCTCACGCAGCTGATGTGTGGGCCGCGGGGGTGTCCATGTGGAGGTTCCTATTGGAGGAATTTCCACCGTGCCAGCCTGAGTCCTCGTCTGAAAGCTTGTTGCCAGAGCCAGCACCCCCAGCACGTGCGGATGTTGGCGAGGACGGTCGAGGAACTCCAGGGCTTCCGCTTTCCTGCGCAATCCTCAGGGCTTGGCCATTAATTGACTGTGGCCATGGACTTCCATTCTGCCCTCAGGGTGTCGAAGAGTGGCAAGCGGGCGCACAGCTGGAGCAGCGCTCACTCGAAATTTTCAAGATGACCCTGGAAGCGGACCCCGACAAGCGTGAAAGCCTAAGGTGCTGGAATGCGGTGGCCTATTTTTGCCTAGAGCCTCGCAGTTTCTTTATGCCGAGGCTGCACAGCAGAAGCAGTGCTGCGGCTTTGCAAACCCAATTTGCTGGGCGGCGGCAGCAGCAGCAGCAGCATTAGCGGGGGTACGACCTCAGCCCGCAGGCCCGCGCACGCAAACTTCTGGAAGCGCGTCAGCAAAAGATGAACAACCGACAAAAATGATGTGCCAATTGACGCAAACATCCTGAAGACATCAGCTCGAGCGTCCGGCAGCCAGTCATGCCGGCAAGCGGCCGCGGTGAAAACAGTGCTCCGTGGCGTCTGAGCACACTCGCACCCGCACTCCTAGTAATTCAAGAAAAAACATGTTGTGTGTAAGGATGTTTTCTGCACAAGTTCCTCCTGGAGCGCATTGTCGAGGCTTTCGCTTGAACCCGGCCTGGAGCTCAGGAGCTCAGGGTAAGCTGAGCATCCGCGCACCCACGCACCCACGCCCGGCCCGCCGGCCCGCCCGCGTGCACACACGACTGCATGCTCGACGCCGCGCGCACGCAAGCGCGCATGCAAGCGCGCCATCAAGCACGCGCGCATGTGCTGTGGCTCAGCCACACAGTAATTCAGACATCACACGGAGCACAGGAACATCAGGCGTCGCACAATTTGAGAAGCGTACACTTGTTGCGGCTCAGCTGCGCGGGCACGCAATTTCAGAAACGTGTCTGCTGTTGTGGCTCAGCCACGCAGGAAGGATCAACACCACCACTGTTGCTGTTGCCGTTGCTGTTGCTGTTCCTGTAGCTGTAGCTGTAGCTGTAGCTGTTGCTGTTGCTGTTGCTGTTGCTGTTGATGTTGTTGTTGTTGTTGTTGGCAGCACGTGCGTCTGCCGCCGCGCGCGGTGGTGCGACTTCTTGCTGAAACTCGAGTTTTGGCACTTTGCTCGCCCGAAATTTACTTTGAGATTTCTTTTCTCCTCGGTAATTGCGGTGTTTTCTAGCAAAAAATGCAACAACCGGCGGGCTGCACTGTCCAAATTTAT